ATGCACATATGCATGCCAGAGCTCCTGGTGCTTCATCCTCACTGATATTTCCCCACAGTTTGATATATGCTGACTGAATGGTTATTCTGTTAAGTTTGATTGAATGTTTTGATAAAGTTTTAATGGCATTAATGTATTAAGCTTGTGATGATGTCATCAAACTAGCATGTGACATCATCTAGTAGCAGGCTTTAGCTACTTTCCATTGAAGTTGGTTGGCAATTTCAACCCTAACTGAAAGAGTTGTGAATTTGTTTAGGTGATGATCAGTTATTGTTGCCTCACTTTTTGTACCTCATAACTAATAAGATAGGTTTTTCACCACACTTCTGTAATGCTGGGTAAAGTGTTACAGAAGTGTGGTGAAGCTGTTTATTGAATGTTCAAATGGCTGTGGCTTAAGAAAGGCAGAGCAGGTTGTCTCCTAACCAGCGAGTTCTTGGTTCAAATCTCGGCTTCTCCAGTCCATGTGTTTGTGTCCTTGGGCAAGATGCTTGCAAACCCCAAATTTGGATTGCTGCGCCATCAGTGTGTAAAATGGATAAATGAGAACTAGTGTAAAGCCCTTCAAGTGTGCTTTATTGCATAAAAAAGTGCAATATAAGACCATTTACCAAAACAAACTATACAGAAACTGACTGCTGAGACAGCCAATGTGGGTTCCTGCTTAATAAAATGGACAGAAATGCATCAAGGCTGTGAGAGTGGAGCTGGAGGTTACTTTGAATTTAGAACAGGATTTGAGTTCATGGTGAGCTTTCATGTTTGTGTGTCACATTGCAATTTAAACAGTCAGACTCCCTACTGACCTTCAGCATAACGTTGAACAGTAGGAATCAGCTAAAACAAGCTACAGTATAACAAAACAGCAAATAAGAGAAAAAGACAGAGATCACAGTAAGAAACACAGTAGCCAGGCAGACTGATGGGTCTCAAGGCATACAGTCACTGAGATTTAAAGAGACTCACTCACACAGGTCTAGTGGGCCTGCCTCACAACCATAGCACTTCCAGTACTACTGTAAACTCCAGACAGTGGTAGGCCTTTGATAACTGAATGGCAGCAGGCAGCCACTAAGACCATAAAGCTAAACCACCTGCACACACGCTGATGCACTGGGAAACACATAACACACAAGATTCAAGTCATTTTGGATAACAGACACTTCAACAGACGGCACACATAGACAGAATTGTGCATAAGATGGGGTATAGGGATCACACCAATGTAGCTTTCATACAGTCTAAATTGTTAAAATTTTTTGATTTAGTAGGATATAAGACTGCTGTGTTTATGTATAAAGCCAGGAACAATTTATTACCTGGTGGAATTCAAAAACTATTTAATGAAAATGAAATTTAAGGGGTCAGTTAAATTTAAAAATTCATGCTATACATACAACCAAAAAAAGATTTTGTATTTCCATAAGTGGGGTAAAACTATGGAATAATTTAAGTGTAGACATAAAAAATAGTAATAGAATTGACGAGTTTAAACATAAATATAAAGGTATGTGTCAATCAAGATATATGCAAGAACAGGCTCAATGATTAATTAGATGGAACATTGTGGGTGTGGTGTATGAATGTTAACACTTTGTAATAATTCTTTAGTATATTACTTGTGTGGTGTAGAAGATAATTATTTAAGAATGTAATTATGTAAGAATGTTAACACTCTGTTATAATTTTTTTGTATATTACTTGTGTGGTGTAGAAGAGAATTATGAAATTATGTATGTTGACATATTGACTGTCGTTACATGTTTGAAAGAATAAATCAAATCAAATCAAATTATTAGTAGTAGTATTAAGGAAAGAAAGAATAAAAAGTAGCATGCACAAAGACAACTACAGAACAGTGTGTCCAAAAGTGTTTTTAGAAGCCATCTAACAGCTGATGTACAGTAGCTTCAGAAAGTATCCTGACAATTTCACTTTTTGCATTCATTAATGTGTTTACTTTTAAATAAGTAAAATTGCCATTGTCGCCCATCAGTCCAAAGCTGAAATCTGTCCTTTACAAAAATATTCAGAGCTTTAATTCGATACTTTGTAGAATCCCCTTTGGCGACAATTGTACCTTGTAATCTTGTGGGGTAAGTCTCTACAAGCTTTGCACACCTGGATTTGGTCAGTATATCCTATTCTTCCTGGCAGATCCTCTCAAGTTCTGTCAGACTGGATGGGAAGCATCTATGAACTGCCATGAGCTCGCAAGGACATTAAGAGACTTGTTCTGAATTCACTCCAGCATCGTCTTGGCTGTATTCTTGGCATCATTGCCATGCTGAAAGGTGAACTGTTGTCACAGGCTCAGGTCACATATACTGTCATATACCTTTTGCCCAAAGTGGCTTCTGGCCAGTCTACTATAAAGGCCCAATTGATAGACTGTTGCTGAGATGGTCATCTTTCCAGCAGGTTCCCCCATCTCTACAGAGGACTTCTAAAGCTTTGTTAGAGTGAACATTGTGTTCTTGGTTATCTCCCCGATCAAAGGCCCTGAGGAGGGCTGGAGTTTGGCTGGATGAGTGGATAGAGCAGTCGTCCCCCCACCAGAGGGTTGGAAGTTCAAATCTCAGTCCCTGCAGTCCATATGCCCAAATGTCCTTGGGCAGGACACTGAACCCCCAAGTTACCTTGGATGGTTAGAGCTGTTGGTGCTGTAGAGGGCTGCCTTGGTTCAGTACCAGAAACAAATTCCTTGCATGTGTAATATGGCCAAATAAAGGTGATTATTATCCTTATAGCAACTCACAGTATCCTAGTGGTTATGAAGGACACTGTGGAAACACTCAAAGCCTTAGAAACCTTCACGCTGATTTAAGCCTCGCTACAACTGTATCACAGAGGTCTAGAGAAAGTTCACTGGACTTCAAGGCTTGGATTTTGTTCTAACACGTAGTTTGAACTATAGAGCATACACAGTCCATTCAATTAATTTTGCTACAGACAGACTGTAGCATACATACAAAGTTTCTTTTGGACCTTCCAGCTACTTTTAGTTGGTACACCATTCAAGCAGTTCTACTGTATTTCTTTGTTCTCACTGACCCAGCCTTATATGGTGGTACAAACATACTCTCTATTTTTCTAGCATTCCAACCTCATTCCAAATGCATGTGAATGATTGACAATACTGAAAATCACCTTTCCCCAAGAAGTGACCAATTGTAATGGTAAGACATTCAGATCATTATTGAAAAGGAAGTGGTGTGGCAGAGCCAACCAGCCTTCCATTTGACATTTCACATTTACTGTACATTGTGACCTGGTCATTTACATTGTCCATGTCATGGTGGCAAAAGGCTAGGGTAGCTTCTTCTCAAGGTGTTTCCAAACCAGATAGGAAATATAATCATTCAAGCATGTTCTGTGTCTGCACCCAATTGGTCATACCTGAAATATCTCACAGGGACACATAGTGATCACACGCTTGACTCACCTCAGCTGACTCCTTTCAACCTGAAGAAGCACCCATTCTAATCTCAGCTTAGACACAGTGAACTGTTTGCATCTGAGATATTTTGCTTTGAGTTCATGACTACTTAGATGATCAAAAATTAGAGCAATAATGGTAATTTGAGGGCTTCACTGCTCAGATCCTCCTGTCAGTCTCACAGTCAACATTACTCACAAAGAGGAGCTGAAGATAGCTCAACTCCTTCACTTGGACCAGAAATCAGTCAATAGGAAGTGTTCCTGACCTCCATGCAACATTGCAACTTGTGACTATTTTATTTTCTTTACTTCACTGATCTCTGGCAGAGAGATGGACAAGGCTGCCTGTGATTCCTCAAGCTGTGCCTTCTCTACAATAGTTGTAAGTCAGTGCCCTATCCATGACCCACCAGACAGCACATAGGCACAGTTAAAAGTCAGAGTGTTCCACTAACACAGAGACACATGAAAATGGTCCCACCTTTGCCTTATGCCTAACAGCCCTGGCACTATAGCCCAACATATATCCTTACAGAAAGTGAGCTTACATGGAGATCCAGCATTGCTTCAAGCATGACAAGGCCCCATGAGCACCGCCACTAATTTCTAAGATATAAATATATATGATTTTGTAATGTGATGGCTGCCTGAAATGATTTGTTAAGTGATGTTTCCTTAGCTTATGCACCGAAAAGACCAGAGCTTGAACTGTCTTAGAGGGGGAGATAAACAGACCCGAATGACTCTTAACACATTGGGACTTTGTGTCTTCACCAGTACCTCTCTAGCTCAGGCCTGCAGCCTGCAGCTCCCCGCCCCCCCGTCCAGGTGGAGCACATCATTAGGGCCCATATAAACTTTTGAAGTTGTAAGTCAAAAGGAAAGGCCAAGTATGTAAGGCAATAAACTGTGACCTTTAACACAAACACAAAAAGTGAAAGAGTGCATGGCCCTTGACACGTAGATGACTACTTCTGAGTGGTTAGGTCCTCTGTTTTTCCTCACTTTGATGAATACCTGCCAGCCATAACTTACTGCTTCCCAATATTGCTATAGCCTCAGTGAGAATGAGAACTAAAGGCTTTCTTTGAAGTTTTTTTACTTGACTAATAAATCATTAGACAGGGTTCAGTACAGCTAAGTAAAACCACTAATTAATTGTGACATTCAAATGAGAGGGAAGACTTTTTTTTAGCTTTGTCATTAGAGCAAGTATCTTACCCATGCAATCTGTAACATGCACAGTACAACCCTATTTAAGGGTGAGAATATTCTTTGTAAAGAAAGACAGGTTGTAATAAGTAATTCACAAGTGAATGTGCAAGTTCTTAAACAATTTAAGAGCACATACCAAGGAAAGCTTGCTATTCTGAGAGTTTATAGCTCCCTCTCACGTCTGGTGAGTGAGTGACAGTGAGAGGCAGCCAGAGGGTGTTTCTCCATTGCATCTTGGCCAGGGACAGCTGACTGGTTGGGATCTAATTGCTCTCAAGTGAGGTCAGGAGAAGGCATTTATCTAAGCAGAGTGTACTGCAACGGTGGAAGATGCACTGAGTCAGCCTGACAGGAATCAGGGAGATATCCATGGGAACTGACAGAATCTCACAGCTCTTACTTCATTTTACTGCATTACTGACCTTGGACTACAGCTTTAGAACTAACGAGGTTTCAAATTAAAACATTTGCTGAAAGGGAATACACCTCTGACAACTTGTGTCATCACTCAAAGGACATGTAAGTCATTAAACTATGAATTACAAACTTTTTAACAAGAAAAACAGCATAGTTTGTTTGTGTGAAAGTGCATGTTTGCTGACACAGAGGAAATTACAGACCACAGACTTGTGAAGAAATCCAGTAGTGCTGATGCAATACTTCACTGCTCCGAGTTTATGACAGGAAGATATGTGCCTGTCAAAGCAAATCACAGAAATTTTGATTTACAGTAGGGGAATGTACAGCATATATTTGTATGAACACAGAAAACCAGAAAGTTTTACCTGAAAGTTGTTTGAAAACATTAATGGCAGCTTTATTACAGAACTGGGTGAATCTTTTATTTTTTAAGCTGCTTTGACAAAAGTCTTCCAACTTGTATTTCCTACAAGAACAACATTGTTTTCACACAGCTTTACTTTTTTTTATATAGGGACATCCTGCATAACATTCCCTGAACTGGATTATGGTGTCCCTTGTCAGACTGTGATCTCAAGAGGATGATGCATTGAAGGCACAGCATCACTGAGGACTAAAGAGAGACTCATAATACTGTCACCTGTGTTCTTCTTCAGACCACACTCCAGCTTCAGCCAGCCCCAGTGTCACAAAGTCTCCTTCACAGTTGCCCTCTCTCAATATCTCACTAGGACGCCCTGCTGCAGGAACTGGGATCCAGAGGTCACAACCTTAGGGTCACAAGTCAGGGGTCAGGGTTGGGCTGAGTGATAGCGCACATTTCTCACATTTCAGTATGTTTTTCATTGATCCCCATTGCATTGTATTATAATGCGCAAATGGATGCTGTCCTGGAACCTTCAAAATCTGTTTTCGGGACTGTACCTGCATGCCATCTTCCTGTTTGGCAGTGTGTGTGTGGTCTACAGTGACTGCACTCCAGAGCAACTTGCCGCTGTCATGAACTGCTCCAGACACGAGCGCCACACCAGGAACTATGACTACATGGAAGGAGGAGATGTACGCATTCGACAACTTTTCAGCCGGACACAATGGTTCCTAACAATTGATGACTATGGCAACATCAGGGGAACTCAAGATCCCACCAACTGCTATGGTAAGGATGACTCTTTTTGTCTAATTATAATGCCAGTGGTTCAGTTCCTGTGCATTTATCAGTGGAAATTATTTAGAACTACTAAAAACCCAGTCATAAAATATTTAAAGTTTTAGTTATTCCACGCATGGTTTAGTTGTGGGACTGTCCTACTTAGTCAGTAAAGTACCTTTGGTCTAACAAGATGAGAGAAGCACGTGAGAGGTGTTGTACAGAGTTCTCCACAGTGTAATCACAGTGTTAATGGGTCATGTGTCTCTGCTAGAGCAGCCAATGTGACAGATGTAAAATGAAACAGGTGGTGCAGTTGGCTTGGTAAATCATAACACCATTTATACACAGGCTGTAATCAAGTAAACTGAAGAGTCTTGGAGATGAATGATTGATGAGTGCCAGACCTCAGACTCACACCAGCACAAACTCACATTTGTTCAGGCTGATTTTCTCACCCACAGGCTTTCAATGTCAGAATGAGGTCTTGGGATAAAGAATTGGCATGAATATTAAAAGTGGAAAAAAATGACTTACCGTATGGTTAGCAACAAACATCTCACACAGAGACAGACACCCGTGTCTGGTCCAAAAATACTGCTCCATACAACAAAATCAATATGTGCCAAATAATGCACACCAGTTACTTAAACTGCTTTACAATATTTGCTAGCCATGGTAATTTAACGCTGTAGAATGTTAAAACTGTTGTTAACTTTTTGAAAGTTAACATTCTAGAGACTACTAGAAATCTCTGTCATCATGAGAATCCTTTAAGTAGTAATCATGTCCTCTGACAATGTGACTGTGGCTGGAATGTTGGCTTGACAAAGAGCGATGGCTCATGGAAAAGATACTTGTGTAACATCTGGCACCGAAAGACTGAAAAATGATACACTCACATGTGGCTGACAGTCGCACACTAGAAGCACAGTAGATAGATAGATAGATAGATAGATAGATAGATAGATTCAGAGGTGTTCCTAATATTTTGACTCTCTTATATATGTAACTGGTGGACGGCAAAAATACAGAGACCCCTCTAAATTTAATGTGGTCCAGTATGACACCACCTTTAACTGGGACTTAAATAATAAACATATAGATGAATTTATGACAATTTCACCAAAAACTGAAACATTTTGAGCTTCATAAACAGAGATGTTAAGGCAGAAGTGTTGCACTGAATCCAATACAGTTGTACAGGGGTACCTAATAAAGTGGCTGGTGGGTGTATATGTATAGTGAACAAGAAGTTCTGAAAAGCTGATGGCAACAATATTTTTTCACATAAAGAATAACAAAAATGAAGAACATACAGTAAATCAGAAACTTGGGGCTGCATTATTTTTTGTGTTTTGTGTGTCTTTGCAACAAAAATATAATTTAACTTTCAGTGATTTTTTTTCCAAATGTGCTATATTTAACTAAATATTTTTGATTACATTTTATTGAATACATTTAAATAAATATATTAAAGTATTGTTTACTAAAAAATTAAAACATCTATAGAGTTCAATCCACCAGAATAGTAGGTAGTGATTACATATTTAGGTTTGTGTTTGGGGAAAAGGCAATAGCATAGAAAATGCAACAATATCAGTAAAAAGATGTGATAGTTGCAATCAACAAATTCTAAACAACAACAGGTCACTTACTCTCAAACTGCATAATGATGCATTGTCCTGGAAGGCTCCCTGTTACATCTTTACCCGCAAAATGTATGAACTAGATTCAAACCCTGTTCAGAGAAAGCAAAATTAGGGATTACCCACAAGTTAGTTTACTTTGCCAGGGGCCCGACCAGCCAGTGATGACAAATCTGTTCAAACTGAGGATAGCCTGAGAAACTATCTGCTTCTGAGCCACATGTTAACAATATGTGTGGGTGCATGTGTGCACAAATGTGTTCCATCTTTCTATAACACACCAAACAACTGTAGCTGTTACATGCAATATTATGGGTATAACACTCACGTGCTATAAGAGCATACTATAAGATGTTATGCTTCATAACAACTATAAAAAATTATTCTATTCAAAGAGGCTGAAATCTCAGGCTGAAATCACTACTTGACAAATAAACATGCAGTTGCACTCAAAGGGCAGTAATAAAGTCAAATACAAAGTGCAAGCAGAGCACAAACAAAATTCCAAAATTGGCAGACTGACAATTTGTGATCTAGCAAAGGTTAAAATGCAACGTCCTCACTGTCAAAAGCATCAGAAGACATCTTCTGGTTTGTTCTCGCCATGATACATAAAGAAAAAATCCTTTAATATGTGAAAATTAATAATTTTTCAGTTACCTAAAATTATCTGGAGCTTATTGATGTTCTTGAAATGCATAGTTTTGTGTAAATCCTAGTTTTACTTTTACAGAGTTTGAACTTTTGAATTAATGTTTTATAATTCATCATATTTGTAATGGTGACATCATAGCTTTAATCCTGAGACCTAAGCAGACATTATATAGTTAATACATTTTTCATAAAATAGATATTTATGGACCAGTGATCTGTGAATCTTACATGACAAATTAAAATGTATTCTTACTTTAACATCCTGCATTATAATTACTACTCCATGCACTGGTCATATAAAACATTTTTCTTTGAAGAAATTAGAACTATTGCTACATACATGATCTACATTTTTAGATTTAAATGTGCTTTTAATTTAGCCTCTCTACTTTCTTCTAAAGCGTAAAGATGATTTTACATTAATTGTGTTTCAGTGCAAAGAACATTTCCTTTGACAAAATCTTTTATTTAATAAAGAGTAAAAGAATGCCTCCATGAATATATTTCTCAGGTGTATAGTCAAACATATCATTTGTTCTTTAGTTGCATAATAAAATCATTTTAAGAAATCGCTAGCCAAAATAGTTAAGCATACTCTAAGTGTTTTTCCTCTCCCATGGATTTGAAAAGCAGGCCTCAGATGTGGCGTGCAAAGCACATGCAAGGAGGTAGTTTTCTCAGTCCCACCGGGGAGAGGCCTAATCTGTCCCCCATATGTGCTATGACATAGGCTGTGGTTTGTGGACTGGCCACCCAGGCCAGTTAACAAGGCTTGAATAAAGCCAGAGAGACCACAGACTGATTAACAACAGGAACTTCCATCCCATTTGTTAATGAAGATGAATGTTGAAAGTGGTGTGGAGCTGGGGTGGAGGCTGGATGTCAGTAGTGTCTTGTCTGTCCTGCCATATGTCTCACTTTCCTACATGTGAATGTCTGGCAGGTATCCTGGAGATCAGGACTGTGTCTGAGGGGGGCATACTGGCTATTAAAGGTGTGAAGAGTCAGTATTATATCTGTATGAACAAGGCTGGACAGCTGCAAGGCAAGGTAATCTTTTTTCTTCAGTGTTGCTATGCTGACAACTGCGTACTGTACTATATTAATGCTTTGATATCTTTCCATTACAGAGGCTCTACAGTGAAAACTGCAACTTCAAGGAGGTTTTCCTAGAAAACTACTTCAATGCTTACTCCTCTGCAAAGTGGACTATAAATGGCAAAGAAATGTTCATAGCCCTGTCTCAGAGGGGAAGGCCACTGCGAGGGAAGAAGACCAAGAGGGAGCATATACCATCCCATTTTATCCCGATGAAATGCAGAGAGGAGGAGAGGAGGCTGGACTGAAAGAGCAGAGGACTAAGTCACAGACTGTGTATGATTTCAATCACATTATATGTTTCGAGACACATATAAACTCATCACACTCCAGTTTCCTCAAGATCTGTCATTTTCAGAAGAGAAAACGACAAATATGAGGCAGGCACATTAACTGTTCCAGACATCCTCAAATAAAATACAGAAACAATAAAATCCTTAAATGTCTGAAATAACTTCAGCTGGTACACAAACTGTAAAACCACTAAAGTCTTCTCAGTGTTGTTGTTATTTTGAGTTAAATATTATATTGCCTTATAAAAGTGTTTTCTTTTTTTTTTTTCTTAAAATGTATTAGACACAGTCAGGACTGTATCCTTTTCCAAAGATGATCTACACCCAGCCAGAAGACGAGACCTGTAGGGTCAATAGAGAGGTCCAGAATAGAGATTTGGCTTAGATGTGCTGAAGCAAGCTGGACTTGTCTTTTTTTAATGGTACAAGTGCCGAGAGTGTCCCAAACAGAGGTATAATAAATACAATTACATCAGCATGTTCAGTGTGTACAGCGATCTGTTTGTGACTGACCTGCTTTGATCCATGTGTCCTTCTGCATTGAAGACCAAACTCTGGTCAAATGCATTGTAGCTGCTCACTGACTCCCTCTTTATCGTCAAGGTGTGATTTTGAAATGCTAAAGTATTCTGCTGCTGCTGAAACGATATTCACATTAAAATACAAGGTGAACAACAATAAAAATAAAAATAAAAAAGAATTGTGTATTCTATGCAATCTTTTGTCATCACTTAATAATTTTCTAACAGATTGCTAAATTTATAGGTATTATTTATTTCTTTATTTATTTATGAGGATATTTTTCTCTCTCTCTCTGTTAAGACATTTCTCCTAAGTAGGCTATAACTAAGAAAAGGAGAGCCATTTATTTTTTAGCATGTTTTGTCAAATACGTAGTTTTAAAAGCCAACTCTGTGTACTCTCTGTACTGGCTATAACATTACAGCGCCTTATCATACATGGTTGTAAGTTATTTCTTTTATTTGTATAAAACAGATGAGTTATGTGTTGACGTGTCCCTGTTCCTTACAGTGTGCATTCTTCCACCTGGATCACTTACAAGTACTAAAGATTTTAATTATCAGATCTTTTTTCACTAGGGGGGGAGGCCTATAAAAGACTTCAAATTAAACTCACAAAATGTTACTCTGCTTCACATGCCTACTTGAAAATATAGTAGAAAAACAGCAGCACAAACAACCTTTTTGATCTAATATTTTCCAATATTCCAAAGCACTTTTCCTAATTTGGTCTGATGGTTTTTGAGAGAAATATTTTGTATTCACTGACTTGCTAAATGTTTTACTATTCATCAACATCAGTTAGCTATTATTTCACACCAGACGCCTAATAAGTTAATGGATCAGAGGAAGACATTTGATTTAAAATACCACTTCATGTATCTTCAGGAAGAGGACACCCTGCATGTGGACCATGCCTTTACTGTGCCATGTATGAAACTATGAAGCTGATCAGCCAGTTCTGGAGAAAGGCAAAGAGAGAATTGTGTCCTGCTGGCACGCCTCATTCAGCACACCCTCAATAACTCAATAAATCAAATATGAGAGCATTTTTACAGTTTTCATTGAAATAAAATGACATTGTTCTTCAATCACAACTTCAGTATCTGTTGTTTCGGTTGTGATTCTGCCCCATTTTCAGTACAAAATAGAACTGCACAAAATGTATGGGCTGTTGCTGTGGTTTTAATCTTATCAGAAAATGACTGTTTGATGATTAGTCCTAACCTAATTGTTGAATGTCATTTGATAAAACTGAGGTTATTCAGCCTGTAAATCTTTAATATGTGCCAGCCTTTAGAGAATATATTACAGATTAATCAACCACAGTGTTTCAGAGTTTGATATTACTGAAGTCCTCTGGGGATATTAAACAGCTCATTTCCCAGCTTAGCTGATTTACTAACAAGATAATGAACTCTGTTGATGCCTTTGAGAAGATTGAACACACATTTCCAAAGAAACATTTGGAAAGACTTAAGTGTCCTTAGACAATCCTAGGCACATGATGCACATGAAAAAGGTCACAGAATCTCATAAGGAAGGTAAAGATATGGTAATGCAATTCAAGGATAAATCTATAAATGTTTTATGCAAAATAAAAAAATATATAAACATGGACACATACATTTCCTGTGAGTTTATTTTGGATTGAGTATAAGTAGAGTCATTTCAGTGCACAAAAATATTGCAGACGTTTTGGCAGGGTGCCTACAGCATACGTTCATTCAAACCCATGCCTGCAGGCATGCAAACACACACACGCACCAACACAGAGCACAAGCTTTACTTTTTGCATGGGTTCACATCTGGCTTGGAGAACCCCTGTCATCTAAAGACAGTCAAATTGGGAGAGCAAACCCCTGAAATACATCTGACCCAAACAGCATCTGAGCAAGGTGAAGGCTTCTGCCAAGTCACGCAAAGTTAGTCTTAGCAGATAATTTGTAACATGCTCAAAATGTAAACACATTTCAGACTCAAGGCTGTGTATTCTCGACAGGACGAGGAGAGGCTGCAGCCAATGAGAATAAGGGAGAACTGTCATAGACATGAAGCCTCAGCCTTCCAAGAGAAAAAAATACAACGCAGGCACGCCAGACACATAAATCATACTTAAACGGTGTTCCAGAACTCACCGATTTTGTTTAATAAAATGCTCTTGAAATCACAAATCATTTTAATACTTTTTTTTTAAACTTACAAAATGTGGAATTCCCATGCGCATTTCTTCATCTGCTTTGCATTAGAGTCATCAAACAGCAACATTATGAAACAGGATGTTCTCTGGCCTGCGATGACAGAGGTTTTTAAAAATATTGCATCATCACTGAGTATATCAAAATAGATTTTCTAAACAACAATGCAAACAGATTTCATTTTGTATTACAATATTGTATTATTACAATTACATCTTACATATGATTATAATTATGCAATTTACAAGATATAGTCATAACTTAAAGTCAAATGTATAAGTGAGTTAATAGTAATGGAATCCAAAATTCTGCTGTAATTATGTAGCTGATATCAATTCAGTATTTACACTGGTCAGTGGCTGCAGCAAACTCCTGTGGTTTTCAAGTACAGCAAAAGTACAATGTTGCTAGTTATAATAATAGTTTAGAGTATTATTATTATTGTTTAGGATAGATCCTTTAAATTTTATTCTCAAAAAGCAGCTAAAAGAGCTACTGTACAGTTTGATGGACCTTCTGGGATTAATAATGGATCTATTAAAATAATTTACAATTTATTGCAATGCACTTGAACAGTAGTAATACATTTGTATTTCTGTGGAGGCACAAACAGAAAACCACGTGTTCCATATTACAAACAGCATGTGCAGACTACGAAAACATCTAAAGGGAAGATGATGAAAGTCTGGATGTGAACAGTACCGCAGGGAAGGACAGAGCAAGGCAAACAGAAGGCGATGGTTGTGGTGAGAAAGTAAGGCGAGTAAAGATGAACAGGGAGGCTCGGGAGTCTCGTGCGATGTGGAAAAGTGGTCTTGGGGTGGCAAGAGAGAGAGGCCCCGAGGGGGAGGGGAAACACACAGCTGAATTTGATACATTTCAGGACTGTAAACCTTTATTTCCACAGAAGAACTCTGTGGTTATGCAACCTGGGATATTCTGTGTTTGCAGCCCTTGGCTCAAAACCTGCACAACACCGGATCGTTGCAAAAGAGGGTCAGGACCTCCAGCACCTCAGAACAATATTCTGCTTTTCCTGTCAGCAGCTTAAATCCACACAGAGAAGAAGATTTTTACATTCACTTGCAACATTTAAAATCTATAATTTAACATTCTGTCACCCCTAAACCCACCATGAAACTTAAACTGGCACGGCTTTCTAAGGCCATAATTATACATTACATTAGGAAACTACTGTAGACCAACAACAAATCAAACAAAAACCCCAAATACTCAATTACAACATTACAGGAGCAAATAATGGCTCATTGTTTAAGTTACATGGGCCAGCACTTCTGATTCTGAAGGCCCTGGGCAGATTAGATTGACATGGCAACACATAGAGGCTGAAATCTGATTGGACAAAAAATCTAACATCCACTTACACGTACTGGAAGCGGTGCAGCCAAGAGAAACGCTACGAAAAGAAGAGAATAGACTGTTGGGAATAAATTAATACAATGGAACAATACATGGAAGAAATATTAGAAGTTAGGTTGTAAATGTAGGTCAGTGCTTCTGATAGTGTTTAGGCCAGCAGAGAAGGCCTTGCTGGCCCTGACGGCCCGCCACTGATATTAAATATATGCTCCACGGTTTGTCGTGCTATGCTAGATAAGTGGATGGTTCGATACATAGGTTCGAAGGAGAGACAACCTGTGACTGTTTTCATGCTAAAC